TGAGCTGAGGTATCCCTTGTGGAAAAATTGTCGTGATCGGACTATAAGTATTCTAGGTCCCTGATATCGAATACGAAGAGCTCTGTGCATAACTTATCCTAACCTAATTTTTCACCGAAAATATCGGTAAATCTCTCAGATATTTTCATGTAATTCGAGAGGAATCATTTTTATACTCTCGCAATAAAGTAGCTAATAACGGTATATATCGTCAGATATATGGTTACATATACCAAAGTGATCAGGGTGACGAGTAGAGTTGAAATCCGGATCTCCGTCCGTGCAAGCTGTAACTTAAGTAAAAATTGAAATATCTTGATGAAACTTGTCATGCGAGAGTATAAAATATTCGGTGACACCCGAACTTAGCTCTTCCTTTTGCTACGTTTTCTTTAACGGACGGATAAGCAATTCGCAGCCTTAAATATGTAGAATATTATACCAATGTTACTTTCTTATTTACYGAAATTAATAATAATAAATAAGTTAGTTTTGCTTTACAGTTCTTATTGCTGTACTTTTTATACTCTCGCAACATGTTGCTTGTACATATGTAGATATAATATTCTAGATTGGTTCACCTAACAGTTTTTTGTATCACCTAAACTTAATCGAGACAGATATAGAGTTATATATATAAATATAAGTGATCAGGATCACGAGTCGACTTGAAATCCAGTTGACCTATGCCCCCCCACCATCTATCCCCGCAAGCGATATTGAGAATTTTCAGATATCCGCTTGATTTTATATCTTATATATTGGCCCATTTATGAGATTTCTTAACGAATTCTAGAGAACCTTAGGTTGTCAAATATCTCCCTTCCGCTTTTTTGATCTTTATTCAATGCTTTATAAAAAGTGTTACAATAATCGGATTTAGTTCAAATATGCGCCCTTTCGTTCGATAATCTGTTTTCATCTAGACGGCGACTTCATAATATCCTTCTCGTAGAAGCACAAGCTCTTTTTAGTTAAACTTTACACCAAGAAGGGCGTTTGTCATGGACAGGAACAGATAATAATCACTTGGCGCTATGTCCGGGCTATATGTGAATGCGATAAAACTTCATATTCGAGCTCCCGTAGCTTCTGACTAGTCATCAACGATGTGTGTGGTCTGGCGTTGTCCTGGTGGACCACCACACCTTTCCCGTTGGCCAAATATGGACGCTTTTGGTCAATCACCTATTCAAGCGGTCCCGTTTTTCATAGTAGATGGTAGAATTAAGCGTCCGGCCATATGGGAGCAGCTCATAGTGAATGATTTCCTTCCAATACCACCAAACATACAGCACCGACCGTTTTCGTTTGATATTGTCGTATGTGATCCATTTTTCGTCGCCAGTCACCATCCGGTTCAAAAACGGATCGAGACGTTCGGTTTCATCAGTATATCGTGGACGTTGATTCGGTGGTAGAAGGTTTTTTACGTAAAATCATGCGGCACCCAAACATCAAGCCTTTTGGTGTATCTGGTAACTAACTCCCATCTTCTGGGCAATGTCACGGCCACATGCCGGTCTAACTCGATGTCTTCCATGATTTGATCGGTATTCGTCGTAACAGATCYCCCGTCGACTGGCTTATTCATTTTGGCGTTTTCGCCCACTCTGAATCGTCGAAACTAGTGCTCCACAGTTCGAGGTGATAGAGTACCATCCGCCAAAACACCATTAATCTCACGGAACGTTTCTCTAGCGGATTTGCCTTTAAGGAAGGAAACCTATAAAATAGCGCGAATTTCGGTGTTAGTGAACTTCATGTTTACACGTCTTTAACTGTTGAACGCAATATGCAAACTAATCATGCATAGCATCGTTTTGTAGGTTATATCAAGACCTTTCAAAGATGTATAGTATACGATACGAGCTCTTTAGCGCTTTATACATAGCCGCGAAATTCAAAAGACAAAAAAACGAAAATGAGATATTTGACAACTTAATATATCGATTGTGCAAAACGTAGTGATGAATCTAAATGAATATGCGTTATATCTGAAAAATTTTTAGTATAAAGATTTCCAACACCTGAAAGTACTTCCACGACTTTAGTTTTTTTCAATTTGCAGAAGTATAAAATATTCGGTTACCCTCATACTTAGCTTTCATTACTTGTTTAATACAAAGGCTTACAAAATCTGAAAGTATGGAATTGCATTTGATTTTATCACATTGTGAGATAATAAAATGTTCGGTTACACCCGAACTTAGCTTTTCTTTGCTTTTTCATGTTTAAGCTCCTTCCCTTGTACGAGAGTCAGGCTTGAAGCCAAGCCTTTAGGCTATGTCGTAATGAAAAAATCTCCAAGGATTTCTTCACACAGGCTTATAGGACAGATTTAACATCCTGTTCAATAACAGGAGATTATTTCCGAGCCCCATAATAGGTACATTAGAAAAAACAAAAAAAAAAAAAAACATCCTGCCTTAAATTATTTAACTCTAGTTCTATATGTGTCAGTCGCTTATCGCTGTATATCAAGTCTAGGCCATTACCACATTAGTGTTCACCAGTGAGTAAACGGGACCCTTAATTTTGTTCCTTCTAATAGTCATCACTTGGTAATGCGAAAATTAGGTTATTAGGTGTTAGACTTATTGCYACGGCTATTGTAACTTTCGTGACGGACACTGTGCCGCTTACGTTATTTATATGCTCTTGCTACAGAGGATAATAGTTTTGTTCACCTAATGATTGACCGTACAAGGTGCTTTCCTTTAAAACCAAAAAAAAAAAAACACAGAACAAATGGCTTTTTCGGCAAAATCAATTTATTTTAATCAAAATAATCTCCTTCTGCTTCAATACAGCTTTTTTCAAGGTCCAAAACCATTTAAAATGTGTGTTTTAGCTTATTGGTCGGTATAACCGCCAGTATGCAAGCCTTTTGAATGGTCTCTACGTCTTCAGTTCCATTTTCACGAATATCAATGATGTTTTCGACTGCTTTTTGATGAATTCAAGCACAGTATCGATGAAATTCCCACATGTTGATCGTCATTTATGTCCTCACAACCACTTTGAAAAGGAAAGAAACCACCCTTGTTTCATCAATTGAAACGTTTCGGTAAAAGTGTTACCAATTTAATGTTGGCTCTTTGTTCGAAACCCATTGTTTCACCGATAACACGAACATACTGAAACTTAAAAYGTAATAACTTCACTTTCAATCGATGAATGTCATGAAATTCCCACTGGACAATCGATAAAGATAGCCACACCAGAAGGGGGCGCTAGATTCAAAAATTCCTGTTTACTTTAGAAACCACCTTGTCTAACTTAAAATTAAGCGAGAACTAGATAAAGTTATGTGTATATAAATGATCATCATCCGATTTTCATAATGTCTTCTCAAAATTAAAAAAAAATTTTATAAAAATTTCCAAACTGTCGGTAATAGTTTCTATAACAATTTTCTTCAGCGAGTTTAGCTATTGGTAGTCTAGAAAGTATGTGCATTAAACTTATTAGAGGGCAGATATATTATTTTACTAAAAGAGGGCGGTATAAATCCTTCTCAAAATTAAAAAAAAAAATGCGTCCATTTTTACATTGTCGGTAATAGTTTCTATAAGAATTTTCTTGAGCAAGTTTTGTTATTGTAGCTTTGGTAGTCTAGAAGATATGTACATTAAATTTATTAGAAAACAGGGACACGTCGACATTTTTAAAAGTCTTCAGCGCACAGCTGCCCTACTGTCAAATTACAGTTCTGTATCTTAATTTAGTGCTAAGTGCTTAACATATCTCGCTTACTTTTGGAGGATACGTAAAACCGTTAGAGGAACAAAAATATTATCTCTGTAGCAATATGTTGCAAGAGTGTAAAA